ATGAGTAATATGAGGGTTAAACATTCTTTATCTGCAGTGCTTGCATCATCCTATATACAGGACCAGCAAGACTAGACATGCCCTGGTCTGGTGGTTCCCCATTTTGGCATTGCAATTGGGAGAAATCCTTCCTCTTGATAGTCTAGAAGGTGCTTACAATTATTGCAAGCTGGTCAGGCTGGGGAAGAGTCATAGGCACCCTCTAAGCACAGGGGACCTGTTCATCAGAGAAATCAGCTCCGGGTCAATATTCTGGAGCTCAGAGCAAATCGGTTGCCTTTTCAGTGACCAGACCAGAATTCAGTTGGCCAATGTCATGTCAGTTGTGTACATAAATCGAGACACAAAAAGCATGCAGTCCAATAAGAGTCAGACCTGAATCTGGACTGGGTAGAAATTCAAGTTCTGGTGCTGAACACTATGCACATTCCCAACCATGGAAAATTGGCAGGTGGACATCCTCAGTCATTAAGGTTTGGATTCTGGGGAATGGCTTCCTCACCTGGAAGTGTTTGAAGCCAGATGTGGACCAGGTTCAACAACAAACTGCACAGGTTTTCTCCTCAAGACTTTGCAGTGGATGCTCTTGTGACTCCTGGGATCAGTTCAATCTAATCTATGACTTTTACCCTCTGAAGCTCCTTCCTGGCATACTCCTTAGGATCAATATGCAGGGCATTCTAATGATCCTTATTGCACCAAACTGTCCAAGGAGGATGTGGTACTTGGACCTAGTCAAACTCCTGGAAGACTCTCTGCTGGCCCTCCTGGATCATCCAGATATTCTATCCCAGGGGCCAGTATACTGTCCTGCTTCTTGGTTGCTGGCTTTAATGGCTTGGCTGTTGACATCCAGATCCTAAAGGAATAGAAGCCTATCATATTCAGTTTTCCCTACACTCCTGAAGGTTACATAATCTACTTGCAAGACCTACCATCATAACAAAAAAAGCATTCTTCTCTTGCTGCGAGGCAAGGAAATTCTATCCCAGGAAGTATTCAATAGAACAAATTCTATCTTTCCTCCAGTCTTTTCTGGATCAGTGTTTGGCCTTGAGTATCATTATATGTTACATATTGGCCTTAGCAGTTCTTTTCAGAAACCACTTGCTTCTCAGTCCTTAGTAAAGGCCTTTAACGTTGTCACTCACAATGTTCATCCTGTATTTTCCCCAGTGATGCCATATGATTTTAATCTACTTCTTTTGCTTCTTCAGAGACTGCTCTTTGAGCCTATTAAAGATATTTCCTTGTCTACCCTCACTCGCAGAGTTACACTTCTTATCAATACTGTACTGCAATTTTTAGAGTTGATTGCCTTGAGCTGTAAAGAACATTTTTTGTGTTATTATTTTGTTCATTGTTTGAATGTGGTGCATGCTGGTCGAGTTTATCTCTCAGCTGAAGTCCCTTTTCAAAGGTCCAACGCTCTGTTTATTATTCCTGCAGGCCCCCTACAGCGGCCAGTCCTTTTCTTGGAGTACATTATGGGGCACAGGTCTCTCCACAGTGTTTCTTATGATCCACTCTTGTTATTGCTTGCTGCAAAACTGGGAATGGAAGGGTTATACTAGACTGTCCTGCCAGATCTCGGTTGCCAGTGGTTACCAGTGACAAATCTTCTAAAAGCAGCAGCATAACCCATGGTTCATGAACACGTCTTCTGTGTCTGGTAATGTACTCTAAGGATTATATAGGTAAGACAAAAACAAAAATCCAGTTTTAGTCAATATTTGCTTATCCCAAAGTCGGGTTTTAAAGGTTAGTCTCTATGAGGCCAATTTATTGAATATGTTGAGAACATACTTACCAACATCTTCATCCCAGTCCCAAGGGCACTGTCACCCATCCAACCCCCCCCCCCCCTTCCCTGGCCACAGCCCACACTTGATATGCCCTCATTTCAGTAACTCCCACTAGATCATGCCCATTTTCTGATCGGTCTTGCCTCTAATTATTTAACAGTCTGTCTGTGACGGCAATCCCCTCAGCTAATACCCTGCTTTGAATTAATGTGCATGCTCAGTAACTCAAACAATGGTGATCTTGTGATCTCAGAACATGATGTAGAAAACAACTTCTTTGGAGGAGTGAAATGATGTGGGACTGCCCCTGGCAAATCTGAGGCAGTTAGCATCTGTGTTGGAATTTCCACTCAATATATTGTGTAAAAATTAATTTCAATTTACTGGTAATGTGAAATACAAACTCCTGGCTAGTTTGAATGCCCAATCATGGGCAGACGAAATGAGTAAACAGAAATTTTCTTTTAACATAATTGGATAATTGAAGTGAAAATTCACACAGAAGAAGGCTCTCAACTCTTTCAGTAAATCAGCCCATATGTTCACATTGGTGTCTCACGGCCCATGTACTTGTTTGCTGTGTGTTAAAACAGATATGCTAGAAAAAAGTTAATATATTAATGTGCAGAGGAGCTGGGATATACAGTTTCTTATGACCATATACAAGTTTTCAAGTAACTGTTTTATAACTTAACCAAGAGAAATCTAAGCTTTCTAAAATGATTATTATATTTAAGCAATAACCATTTAAATGGTATAAAACATATCTCTTGTTATTCAAAGCCTGTACTGTACAGTATGATTTCTCAATACAGTGTGTCTAATTGCAAAGAAAAATGAAATGAAAAGCCACTAGGGGGAAGCATTGACACATACAAGAAATCACTAGTCAGCTTTTAGTTTGTGTGTAGTGTGATTTTATAGTGTTCAGCATTTCAGGGAGAATGACAATATGGCAGGCTTTCATAATTATATAGCTGAGCAAAAAAAAAAGACACACCCATCCTGTTATAGTGATCATCCTGTTGTTGGCAATCCATGTTCATTCTATTTAACAAAATGCTGGCACTTTAGAGAGAAGTTATATACAATATTAACACGTATACATTTATAGAAACTGCTTGGACAAGCATTTTTAAAATTCATTTTTCAAATGACCAATGCAAAGTGATGGCCATTTCATATCTATGGGTATTTACATTTAAGCACCTGCAAACATGTAAGAGTGGGATTGTTTGCACTCCAGCATTGGTGCTGCAGTGCCTTCAACAGCACAATGCCAAATTCTTGCATACAGTATCTCATATGCAGTGAATTGTGCTCTCGGACAGTCAGTGACTTGGAAAGTCTGTGAGACAGAAACAGCCATGCAACTAGCATTTTCAGAAGGAAATCAGCAATGGCATCACCATATTTCTCTCAGTGCCATTTATTTTACCTCTCCTCCTTTTGCATTGATTTTAGAGTTCTGCAAATGATATCCCACTACATTAACTGCTTCCCGTCTGGTCTATTGTAATATGAAGGCCTGGCATGAGCACTGTTGTCCTGGGTGGACATCTTATTACCTTCTCCCAGGATCGCATCTTGCTCGCACCTCACGGGCCATTCTGTTATTATTATTATTATTATTATAATACAGGATTTATATAGCGCCAACAGTTTGCTCAGCACTTTACAATATAACGGGAGACAATACAGCAACAGTACAATTCAATACAAGAGGGATAGGAGGGCCCTGCTCCTCGGAGCTTACAATCTAGGATGCAGCGTGATCTGTCACCCTCCGTTTACGCTGGACACAGCAGATGACAGATAAGTGTACCGGGCTGCTGCCGGTACCATGTGATCACTGTGACCAATCAGAGCAGATAACAATATAATTGCACTCAATGGATAGCTTCCATTAATGCCATTCAATGTATACTATTGTGTTGATCTCAGTGATTGGTTGCAGTGATCACATGGCAAAGAAAGGCCCAATCCCAGCTCTTCTCTACCATATGATTAGCTGTGGTCAATCACAACTAATCACAATAGTACACACTGAATGAATGGAATTTATTCACAAACAATGGTTGCTGATTATCACTGTTATAAGCAATCATAGCATGTAAAAAAAAAAATCCTGATCACCTTCCCAGAGTAGTACAGTGTTACTGGATTGCTTTGGTCAAAGTATGTTAACAAATAGTACAAAAAAAAGAATGAAATAAAAAAAAAAGAAAAAATATTTTAAAAAAATTTAAAGAAAATTATATTTTTGTTTTGTTTTTTTTTTTTTTTTTTTACATACTGTCACCAGTCAGTGTCCCTGATCTCTGCCACACCAGGTATATGATGACGCTGTACTGGTGACAGTATGTAAAAATATGAAAATTTAAAAAAAGTATGTTTTTTAATTTCTTCATTTTTCAAAACAATTTGCCAAAAAATTACAATTTCAAAAAACTTACCATGTCTCTTACTTTATACCTCAGACTGTCTTTTCCAAAAAGTTATCATTTTGGAGATATTTGCACTGTCCAGGCCTCCAGAAATGAGATAGGATTGATCGATTTTCAGATATATATTTATAGCATAGTTTGTGGATTCTATAACTTTCCTACAGATTAAATAAATATACACATAAATTTGGGTTTTCACCAAATAAATGTAAATTTCATTTGGGTACAGTGTGGCTTAACAGTTGTCATGCAAAGTATGAGAGCACTACAAGCTGAAAATCGGTCTTAAAAGAAAAAGTTTACTACCACTTTAAAGTGCATTTTATACATGAAGGTAGAAAACCTTCAGTGTGCTGCACCCCTCTCAGCCACCCCCCCCCCCCCTCCCCCTTATACTGACCTGAGCTTGATCCCGATCCATTGATGTGATCGGGAGTAGACTCTCTCCCAGGTCTCTGCTGCTCACTGGCTGAGACATAACCATTGCCTGCTGCTGTCAATCACAGCCAGAGAGGAGGAAGCAGGGGTGGGGCCGAGCCATACTCTGTGTGCTTCATAGACACACAGAGGAGGCTCAGGAGTGGGCATGCACAAGCAGGGGCGGGCTGACAACTCATGGGGCCCCCGGGCAATAGGGGATCATGGGACCCCTGTGTCCTTGCCCAAACTCAAAAAAGTCTATGAAAAAGGTACCAGGGGCATCTCATGGGGCCCCCTACTGACCCCGGGCCTGCGGGCAGTGTCCGAGTTTCCAAATGGTCAGTCTGCCCCTGTGCACAAGTGCCCCCAGAGCAAGCAGATTGCTCTGGATGCACTTGGCCGGGGGAGGTGCCAGGAGTGCTGGCAGAGGACCTAAGAAGAGGAGGATAGGGGCTGCTCTGTGCAAAACCACTGCACAGAGCAGGAAAGTATGACATGTATGTTATTTACAAAAAAAACTGAACCTTTACAATCACCAAATATGCAACACTACATTAAAACTTTCACACAGACCTTTTTATTATTGCACTATTGTTTCAAAAATCCATTATGAAGGACATAGTGGAAAAAAAAGCACTTGTAGATTTAACCAGTCATTTGCTTATTAATTCTTAATGGACCATGTAACTGGAGGTGTGGCATGGCTATGTCTTTTTCATACACACATTGTACTAAAGAGCATCCCTTTTTCCCATTTCAGAAAATTGGGATGTATGCATTGTCTAGGAGTTCAGTAAAATGCTCAACTTGAAAATCACTAGTTTAAGAAATTTCCTTTCACATTTATGCAATGCTCTAATGTTACATACCTGAGTTACAGCATGCTAGAATGCATCATAACGCACTGCCATGTGCTTCATTACCAGAAAAGGTGCATGTCGGATTTTCATTTTGTGTGGTGCATTGGCAGCCAATTCAAATTAATTGGCTGCCCTAGTGCAACCCAAGTTAATGTGTGACATAATGGCAACCACACAGGGTGTGAATGGGCCCAGCATGTTAATTAAATGTATACCACAAGTATTAGTGACTTTGTGCGAAAATTAAAGCAGTTGAAAATGCTAAATCTAAAGATACCATGATAATGTCCTGCAAACTTTTTCTGTTGTTGCAAAGGTGTTTCCCAACTGTGGTTCTTAAAACATACAGCTAACAACTGTAGTAGCAAATAAACAGAACTGAATGCTATAGACCAACATTTTCAATACTCACGTCATGTTGTTCATATTTTACTATCACTTAGCACAGTTATATTGTAGAGAATCTATAGATTGTATTTATTTATTTTCTTTATTAGTTTGCCATGTAACCCTACACATCATAGAGATACTGTACATAAATACAGATCTCTGAAAAATTAGTTCCCATGTGAAAAAAGATCCACATTTTTTAAGGATGCTCCTTCCTCTCAACCTGCAGAAAAGGAAATGTCAAAAAGGGAATTATTTTCATTTTTAGTCTTTTTATAACACTTTTTTAAACTCTTTTTTTTTTATATTCTTAAACTGTTCTGTTGTATTTTTATTTGTATGATATCTCCATTTTACAAACATTTCATTCAGTGAGATTCTCTTATTCTAATAAGAGACTCCAGCGATTTCTGGTCCCTTTTTGTCTCTAACTAAAACTTCACCTTTCAGAGGCAGGCAAAAAAAACATTCGAGCAGTGCTGGAATTTATTTTATTTCAAATCTGTAAAACTTTACAAAACTCCAAAAACTATGATAGCTTTCATTGAAACATGGATTCATGTCTCTACCTAGATCAATGTCTGAGTTTGTGTCCATCAATATCAGTCAGTCTGGATTCATAATCAACTTGATATTAGCAAACTCTTTTCCTATTTTAAGAATTTCTTGCTATTGAGTTTTTTGTTCATGTGAAAGAGTGATCAAGGTACTTAGTGTGTGTGTGTGTTTTTCAGTATCAGATAACAATTATGGCAGGTCTCTACAATCCAACAATTGACTTAAAGGACAAGTTTACCTTTCTAAAAACAAAAAGATTAATGCATATTTTTTTGCAGGTGAAAAAATATGAATTTATTAATTTTTTTTTAGGAGTCTGTAAAGCATTGCACCCACAATAGCAGATTGCAGGTGCAATCTCAGGCTCCTGCAGCCTGTCAGTGTATCTGTCTGCTCGAACCTCATATGGGCAGGTAGTTACATAATGACAGGAAGACTCAATGAACTACCTAAAGTGCTCACTAGTGCCCTGGCAGTTCATTGAGAACTACAAGCCATCAGCCTCAAAGGCTGTCAGCACTTGGAGTTCATTCTTTCTTAGATCTTTGTGAATGAATGGTGTGACTATTTCAAATTCTGATGGTGGGTGCAGGGAGAAGATATTGGCCTGCCATCACAATGATGGGGGGGGGAAACGTAAGAGGCTGCTGGAGTGGGAACGTGTTACATGTTCCACCATAAAAACAGGTGGAACATGTAACCTGTTCCCAAAGGTGAACTTATCCTTCAGGGATTAGCAGGTCTCTCAACTTATCATTATCTGAAAAATATCTGTTCATCTTTAGTCACCCTGACACTGGTCATCAGGACAGATATAGGGTCCAGAAGACCAGGGGCCCCTGCTTACACTGACCATTATATAATAAAAAGCAAATATTTATTGTTCCTTCAATCATCTTTTTGTCTACCTTTACCTTTCTCTTCACTATTTTCCCTGTGTTTGGTCTCCTTCCCCTATCCTGATGTATTCCCTCATTACATCTAATTGATTAGAGCATGCAGTGAAGGTAACATAGAATATAAGGGATCATCTTATTATTACTAAATTATCTTCATAACAGTTCTAAGCAAAAACAAAATGCAGTTACCAGTGGAGATGTGGGAATAGATGTACAAGATAAAAAAATTCTCACAGCCAAAGTTCCGAAAAGGTTGATGTATGTTTGTCAGACTGGATGATAGCAGTGGTGACCAAAAATGAGACCTAGGGCACTTAGTAGAAGGCCCTGGGCACGTGCCATAGGTGCCATCATCATGCACACTGATAGCATCTGACTGTGCAGTCTCAGTAGAATCTTCACTAATTTTCACAACAGCACCTAACAATCAACTCAGGTCCTATGAACCCAGCTAATGCCTTGCACTACTTAGATGTTGGGAAGTTTAAAGATGATAGTGCAATTGGATGTTAACTATGTAACCAGTATTAATCTTCAGTTACAGTCTGAAGTGGTTACAGTAATAACTGTAATATAAGGAGTGTAATGATTATAATATGATCAATTTGGTTAATGCAAAGTTATTACTTGGCACAAAAGGTTGTCCTCCTAATTAGCAGGTCGGTCTGGGTATAGAGTAACAGGGCAATATGGGTTCAAAACTCAGTAGCCTGCCTCTTTCATACCTAGCTGTGCAATGGATTGTGATTTTTGAGGGAGGAAGATAAATCAAGGCACGTACAGAGTAATACACACTAGTGTACTGTGGGGTGGAGGATGCGGTACAAGATGTGGTACAATGTAGAATGGAGTAGGGAAAAAAAAGATTCCTGCCCCCCCCCCCCCCCCCCCAAAAAAAAAAAAATAATCAGAGTTATCACTTTAAAATGACTTGGGGAAATAAAAATCTGCTGCTAGCCTTCTGCTTTGCACAAACAGTATACAGATAATTCAAAACTCCATATAGTGATATCTTAAAATGTACTAGTTAAGAAAGGCTTTTTACTCAATATATTGTTTTTCGGAGATTTACCTGAATGAAACACTCTTGACATAATGTGGGCTGGCTGTTTATTTGAGCATATATATAAATGGCATAATCTTGCTGAGGTAGCTCTCAATCAAAATTTAGTGTAAAGGTGTGCAATCAAATTGTGACTTCACTGGCTGATTACACATAAGGTAATAATTAAAGAACTCACTTGTTTTACGTGCACAAAGAGAACGCTATGTGTACTACCAGTGAGTGGGTCCCCTAGTGACTATGAGCTAGTCAAAGCAGACACTGAATAGCACAGCATTACCTCATGCCTTGAAAAAGGCAGAAGAAAATGAACTGGCAGACACTTCCTCTTTATTTATTTAATTTTCATGGGGTGATTTCTCCCTCCAGCTGAGGGTAACATGAGTGCAAAATGATGAAAAAGGGTTTTATGCAAGATGTCTGGACAAAACGTGAGTTCAAATACAAAGTCCATGGTTTCAGCCTGGGAGATCTAACGGATTCAGAATACAGACAAGTTGAGCAATCTAAGCCTTTTCAGGGTTCTGGAAGGAAATTATTGTTTTGCATCCAAGCAGAAAAAAGGCATTCTCATTGAGTGGCAAAGAAAAAATTGGAAAAGAGGATGACAAACCTTCTGCACACAGAAGCTTGAATGATCAGAATGGGGAGAAATGTTCTTAAAAGCAAAAACATTAGCATGGGAGAAAATGGCTTTATGTACAGACTTTTATTTTATTAGGAAAAGTTTCGTAATCAACAAAAAGGAATTCAGTTGCTATGTAAAGTACTACGAGTGTGTGTACTACGTCAGTATGTGTGTGCTCGTAGACCTGTATGGATATGAATGCAAAATATAAACATTTGGTAATCTCCTATTTGAATGCTCAGGTTTATGTTCATGGTAGTGATGGATATAATTGTAAAATATAATAATTTGCTATTCTGCTATTTGAAGACTCAGGTTTATTCTTATGATAGTGATCAGAAGTTGTGTGCCTACATACAATAAATGAGTTAGAGCTGCAGCCCATTTTGGAGTCACAAAACTGTCCAAATGCCTTTACTCCTAATTAGTGTGCTAAACATTGTTGCCAATTTATTGCCATATTGCTTATTATCCACATTGACAAACTAGTGCCCAAATATGACTACTCTGCTGATTCTGTCCATCAGTTGTCTACTGTAAATAAATTACTTTGTATCCACATCGTGCAAGCAGCTCACAGATCTGACAGAGTTGCTTCAGCAGCATACATGCTGCCAGACGTATCACAAACCTTAATTCTCCTAGCTTACTCTGTCAATTTGTGTTAACTGGCCTCCCATCAGGGGTGGCTTTGGGGACTTTGGGGATTTGCTTGCATTTTATATCAGCAGAAGCAGTATGCTTGCTCTAGCTTAATCCTTTCTACTATAGTATTATGACCTACAGCATACATACCAGGAGAGAGTTCACATTAGGCATCTTCTCATACTGTATGTCACATACACTAGACTAGAGTTTCAAATTGTCATTAGCAGAACATACCTGTTTTTAGTTCAGGTTAGCTCATAAACCATTTTTTTTAACTAGCAATTCAAAAGATGAACAAATACATTATCATGAAGTGATGCAGTGCCAATGAATTTAACAAAAGCATACAAAAAAAACCCAAAAACAAA